AATTCCTTTTCAGATAGTAAATCAGTTACTTAGCATTTTCTCATATCAATAATACCACCACATGCCCAATGATACATTTCACACAAAAGACATTTCCAAATAGGTCAACCAGCCTCATCCAGGCCCCACCCAAGGCACTCACAGATCAACACAGATCAACACCCCAGCCCTATACTAACTCAACACATCCAGATCTAAGCCTTCATCACTTGATTCAGCAGACCCTCAAGTTCCCACAAAAGTTTCCAGCCATGTCTGAGAGGCAGCCGTGGGGCAGGGGCAGGCGAGGGCCTGGCTGCTCCGGGCCTGGCCTCTGTTGCTCTGGTTCGTTCCACAACCAGCTGCTCCTGGTCTGGTCACCGCCGCTCCCGACCTAGTTGCTCTGGACCTGGCTGCTGCTGCTCCGGGCCTGGCCGCACCCAACCCAGCTGCTTCAGGCCCGGCCACTCCGGGCCTGGCCGCTCCCAGCCTGGCAGCTGCTGCTCCGGGCCTGGCCACACCAGACCCGGCTGCTCCGGGCCTGGCCGCACCAGACCTCCATTGATTTTTTAGAGAAAATGGGAGGGAGGAGGAAATAGAGAGAGAGAGAAACCTTGGTGTGAGAGAGACACATCAAGAGAGAGAGAGAGAGAGAGAGAGAAACCTTGATATGAGAGAGACACATCAATCGTCTCCTGTATGCTCCCTGACTGGAGGAGAAAAGTAGGAGATGAGCAGAGGTAATAGAGGACCCAGGTACATGCCCTTGCCTGGGAATTGAACCATCGACCCTCAGTGCATTGGCTAATGCTCTAACCACTAAGAACACAGGCCAGGGCTCCTCCTGACTTTTATATACTCACTCTATTTTTTTTTTTTAATATATGTTTTATTGACTTTTTACAGAGAGGAAGAGAGAGAGATAGCTAGAAACGTCGATGAGAGAGAAACATCGACCAGCTGCCTCCTGCACACCTCCCACCGGGGATGTGCCCACAACCAATACATGCCCTTGACCGGAATCGAACCTGGGACCTTTCAGTCCGCAGACCGACGCTCTACCGCTGAGCCAAACCGGTTTCGGCTACTCACTCTATTCTTACACTCAGTGGAAAACTGACTAATGTGGACCTCACTTTTTTGTTATTCATGATGAAAAACAAGGCTGATCTCCATGTCTCACATTTGTTTTCATGTGCATGCTTCCTGGCCTCAAAATCAGTGCATTGGAAGTGCTAACAAGCTTGGAGACATGCAGACATCTGACCCACCTGCTCTCCAGCTTGCTGAGGAAATCCCAGTGGGAAAATAATCTGCTTTCTGTAACGTGCTGATTTCCACTGAGCCTAATTCATCGACTCAAAATGGCCTGTGCCCTAATTCAGTCTCAAACCTCCACCTCCTCCTCCCACCCCAGTCCAGCCAGAAACATTTAAAGATCAATGCAGTCCCACTTCCCATTGCCTGTCACCCTGTGCGGGAGGCCATTCTCTTTCTCCTGAGAGCAGGCTGCCAAGCAGCTACCATTGCTGTCTGAGCTGCTCAGACAAGTACATCATCCTTGTTTTTATGCTGGGCAAACCATGGGTCCTTAATATCATATTTGCCCTATGCTACCTTGTATAGATGTGTGAGAATAAGGATAACGCTGAAGCACTTTAAATTAAGAAAAAAGATATATAAATCTACTCAGCCAATTTTAAATGTTCTTTTTGGCTCCACATGTTTGGCAGTTGGATTAATAAATGAAAGAATGAATAAAAGGATCTTTTTCCCCCCCTATACTCCCAATCACCATTCTAGGAATAGATGAGATCTTGAATGTTCCTTGATATAGTTGAATAAGAAGAAAATGTCATGCATGTCCATCGCACAGGCAAATTTAGTGATCAATACAGAGACTATCAAGATGATAAAGTAGGATTTGTATCTTTCAACTTTGGAATTGTTTTCAAGTATTAAATAACTGACAGGGTGATCTCTGAGGCCCCTCTCCAAAACTCCATTCTTTTCGTAGGGCTGGGTTAGAACTAATGTCTGTCCAGCCTGGGTCATTGAGCATGGGCCTTGGAGAGGGCAGTAGCAGACTCAGAGTGCAGTATGCCATGGTTGTAACATCATTTGAACAACAAGCCAGGGCAGTTAAGATTGGGGTTAAGAACTTCGGCCTCAATAGCACTGTGGGTGTGTCAGCCAACAGGGCTAACAACAGAACGCCTCATCTCAACAGATGGGTGTGCAGCCTCTCTCTCGCAGGTGCTTTGCTGGGTGCCGGAATGACAAAGATGCATAAGAAATTGCCCTTGTCTTTGACACAATTGTAGTCTGATGGGGAAAAAGACACAAAAATAGGTAGTTTCAATACCAAAGTACTATGAAAGCAGCCATAACAATCTCAAATTCTAAAGTGTGAAAGAAATGAGTTAGTCTTTTTTAGGCAAGTGTTATATGCCAGGCACTGTGATGGGCATATTTCATGTGTCTTCTCCTTTAATCTTGGAAATGTTATGAGGTAGACACTAGTGTGTGTGTGTGTGTGTGTGTGTTGAGCAGAATAGCACGCTGAGGTTTAAGCAGCACTGGCCAGTAGAGCTCTGTGCAGGGATGAGATGTTCTGCATCTGCACTGTCCTATCACTAACCGGTGGCCATGTGGCTGTTGGGTACTTGAAATGTGGTACAACTGTGAACAAAACTGCTCTTCCCCCCCCCCCCCCATTGTAATAGTCACATGTAGTCAGTGACTATTGGACAGCTTAGGCTTAGCAAAGTTCTCAACTTCTACAAGGTTCTCAACTTTATGTGATTTGTCCTCTGTTACCTCTGCTCATCTAGTTTTCTCCTCCTCACTCACCCACACCACTCACCCAGCCACACTGGCCTCCTTAAGGTCCTTCAGTTTGCCTGGTCTGTCTTTGCTCAAGTGTCCCCTTCCCCAAGAGGCCCACGCTGGCTATCCCTGAAACTCCCACTCTCCCTTACCCTGCTCTTAAGTTTTCTATATGCTCATTATTACTAATGAGTTATAATACTGTTTATTTTTTTTTTTTAATGAACTTAAAGATTCCGCATGATTTTTTTTTTTAATATATTTTATTGATTTTGTACAGAGAGGAAGGGAGAGAGATAGAAAGCTAGAAACATCGATGAGAGAGAGTCATCGATCAGCTGCCTCTTGCACACCCCCTACTGGGGATATGCCTGCAACCAAGGTACATGCCCTTGACCGGAATCGAACCCAGGACCCTTCAGTCCCCAAGCTGACGCTCTATCCATTGAGCCAAACCGGTCTCGGCAATACTGTTTATTATTATTTATTATTAGAAGCCTGGCACACGAATTCATGCACCAGTGGGATCCTTCAGATTGGTCCAAAACTGGCAGTCGACATCCCCAAGGGGTTTCGGAGTGCAAGAGGATACTCTGCAAAGTTGCTGTCTTTCGGCAGTTCCTGTGTTGAGCATCTGCCCCCTGGTGGTCAGTCCAATTGGCCAGGTGGCTGATCTCTTAGGCTTTTATATAGAGACTAGAGGCCCATTGCAGGAAGATTCCTGCGAGATAGGGCTTTCTCAGGCCTGAAGTCAAATTCCCATCTCCGCTGCCTCGCTCCCTTCTCTGCCACTTTGCTCCCTTCTGCTTCCTTCTACCCTGTCTTCAATCTTGGCTCTGTATCTACGTATGCAAATTTACTGCCGTCTTTGTCGGGTTAATTTGCATATTCACTCCTGATTGGCTGATGGGTAAGTGGAAGGATGGTCAATTTGCATGTTTCTCTTTTATTAGTGTAGTCTAGAGGCCCAGTACACGAATTTGTGCATGGGTGGAGTCCCGAGCAGGGCCTGCCAACTGCTGGGAGAAACTGCGGGAGGTTGGTGGCCACAGGAGGTTGGCTGTGAGAGCGAACTGACCACCATCCATCCATGCCCCTGTTTGCTGGTTGAATTGCAGCTTACAAGGGTTGTTCTTTATCTTTATTATAGGTAGCACCTTATTTTTACCACATTATAAAGCCTATCAGCATATTGTAATTATGTGGGTGTCTCTTTCCATTTGACTTTGGGATCCTTAGAGGCAGGACAGTGATCTGTTCAGATTTGCGTGTTCGTACCTGACATCATTTCTGGCATCTAGAGATTCAGTCTACATTTACTTTGACTATTTAAGTGGATGGCATTTGTAGTTTTGCTCTTTCATTTCTGAAGGATTTTATCTCAGTGAAGTAGTGGATAATAGCTTTTCTATATTATTGTTTTACTATAATCTCAATAGACAAATTAAAAAGGCGCAGTTGAGCCGAAACCGGTTTGGCTCAGTGGTAGAGGGTCGGTCTGCGGACTGAAAGGTCCCGGGTTCGATTCCGGTCAAGGGCATGTACCTTGGTTGCGGGCACATCCCCATTAGGGGGTGTGCAAGAGGCAACCGGTCGATGTTTCTCTCTCATTGACGTTTTTGGATCTCTATCTCTCTCCCTTCCTCTCTGTAAAAAAATCAATAAAATATATTTTAAATAAATAAATAAAAAGGCACAGTTGAGCCGAAACCAGTTTGGCTCAATGGATAGAGCATCGGCTTGGGGACTGAAGGGTCCTGGGTTCGATTCCGGTCAAGGGCATGTACCTTGGTTGCAGGCATATCCCCAGTAGGGGGTGTGCAAGAGGCAGCTGATCCATGACTCTCTCCCATCGATGTTTCTAACTCTCTCTCTCCCTTCCTCTCTGTACAAAATCAATAAAATACATTTAAAAAGGCATAGTTGAATTGACCCCAAAGGTGGAAGAAAAGCAGACATACAACTGGAGTACATTTGTACCAGTTTTTTTATGGATTCTGATCACTTTTCAACTTAACATGACAAACCTGTGTCAGGACCTAAGGAGCTTATTGGAGGAGAATTGCATTCCTAGAAAGTCCCTCCAGAGGTGGATGGTGGGTTTCTCTGGGTTTGAGTGATGTTCTGGATGTACTCAGCTGGGAGGCATGTAGTCTAGTCCCCAGTGGCTAAATGTCTTCTTTTCTCCACAGGGAAACAGCTGGAAGGCATCTGGTAAGTGGGGCGGGATCCTTGTTTACAAAACAAGGCTGAACCTGTAGCTTCAGGTTCCAGTCTGTGGCTCCAGCTTAAACCCAGCCTGCGTCATAAATCTCCAGGTTGTAACGTGGTGGTTCTCAGCCAGGGATTCTGTCCCCTCCTCCTCCCTTCCTCCCCCGCCCCGGGACAGTGGGCAGTGTCCAGAGACATTTTTGGTGGGTGGATGGGGACCAAGGATGCTACTGTAAGATCCTACAGTGCACAAGACAGCCCACAACAAAGAGTTACTTAGCCAAAACTGGCAGTGGTGCTGATATTGAGAAAGCTGCCTAAGGAAAGGCAGAGAGGTCCTGCCCGCCCTACCAAGGTCTCTAACTACAGAAGGCCCCGGAAGTCTGGCTTAAATCACACCTACTTTGACCTCTCACTGCTGGACCCGGCCCTGTCAGAGCTGAGCTCTCAGCTCCATTCATGAGGAAGCCATAGGTCAGTTTTCAGTCTTGACTCTGAACCCTCCTGACAGTGGATTGACAGACTGGCCCTCTGCTTTGACTCAAACCAAGTAGTATGAACCCCTTCACCTGAAACAGGTCCACTTTTCACATCCCCTGGTCCTTCCATCAGCATGCTCCAGGTGCACTGCTGCTCTTAGTTTCAAAAGCCTGGGAACGCAACTTGGTGTGCAGTCTTTATTTCAGTAATTGGTTTTTCATTATCAAGGTGAATTTCTAAGGACTCCCCTCTGCTTACATGGTTCTCAGCTGGGGTCAATTCTGAGACATTTGGTACTGTCTGGACACATGTTTGGTTGTCACACTGAGGGGAGGAGATGCTGCTGGTGTCTAATGGGGGGAGGCCAGGATGCTGCCACACATCCTGCTACACAGGACAGCCCCCCAGTCCAGCACTGTCCAGCCCCAAATGTCAGCAGCGCCAAAGCTGGAAGCGCTCACCGGTGGTGTTTATCTTGCTTTTGGTTGTTTTTATAAGGCTGCTGGCCACAGTCCTACCCATGGGCAGAAATGATTCTCATGCAGTGTGGTGGCTGCTTTTTCTCAGATGGCTTACTCTGTCTCCTCTCTGCCTGCAGGCACACCTCCATAGTTGTACACAAGGACGAGTTCTTCTTCGGCAGCGGCGGCATCTCCAGCTGTCCCCCGGTGAGTGTCCCTCCCCAGCCCTGTCCTGCGTCTCGGGTTCCCGGGATTCCCAGAGACCAGGAACTCAGCTGCCACTCTGCGTTCTCGTCCCGGCCCAGAGTGTGGAGGCCTGCGGCATAGCTCCTCGCAACTCCCTGCAGGCTCAGCTCAACAGACCCTCCCCAGACCCTCCAGCCCGTTGCTCTCCTCTCTGCTCCGACGGCACTTTTGGGTCCCTCTGTGTCACACTGAGCGTGTTGTGGTGAAATGAGCTGTTCCAGGGTCTGCACAGGAATATGTAAGTCTCTGTGAGCCGAGACTGTGCCTCACTTTCCTATCCCGTAACCAGCTCAGTGCCCGGCTCACCTGAAGCCGAATATGAGGGCTCTGAGAGGCAAAGTGAGTTGCCCAAAGTGAGTTGGCCAGGAAGTGGCAGTAGTACTTACACAGCTCTGTGACTCTAAAGCCCATTTCCCGAAGGATTGCTGTCTGTCTCAGCTAGCCAAGGGCTGTCCCAGGAGCTGCTCAAACCACATGGCCATTCATTTTGATGCTCATAAATGGGAAGTCATTCTTGGTTTCTCCTCCCTGGTCCCTCACCTGTAACAAATCCTTCATTAAGCCCAGTCCATTCTACCTTGTGAGTGTGTCTTAAATCAGCCTCTCTCTCCTCACCTGTCCCCTTTTTTCCAGGCTTTCACCTAATCCAGGCTACACTCATACCTAGCCTGGACCACAGCAATGCATCTGCTCTTCTCCACCATTTCTCCCATGGGAAGCAAACTGACCTTTTCCAAATGAAAATCTGATTGTGGCATTCGCCTGCTTAAGTCAGAACTCTACCCGTTATTCTTAGAATGTAAACCAGAAAGATCGGTGTGACCTCCAAGGCCCTAACTGGTCTTGGGCTGCCTCTCGAGGTGGTCTCTTTTCAAGTCATGCCCTTTCCAACCCCTCTCCTTACTTACACCTTTAAACCTATCCACTGCCTTCAGCCCTCCCCCCCACCCCCACCCCCCAATCTCTCACTTTGTTGCACTTCTCCATCCTTCAGATTTGAGCTCAATGTCACTTTCTCAGGCAAATCTTCCCTGACCCTTCAGGCTGGGATGGTCCCCTGTCATATGTACTGATGGCATTCTGTAGTTTTCCAGCAAGACCCTTATTGCAACACATAATAATACATTGGTTTATGGGATTTTTTGTCTGCCTTCCCCACTAGGCTATAAGCTCCCTGAGGGCAAGAATCTCATCTGTTTTGTTACATCATACCCCAGTGCCTAGCATAAGGCCCGTCACATAGTGAGTTCTCAATACATATTTGTTATATGAGTGAATAATGGGGGAGGGTGGCAAATAGTGACCTTTTAGTTTCTTATAACTCTGAGTCCTTTTTCTCTGGCTACCAACATCATGCTGCTCACTGTCCCCTCTCCAGTGCCTGGAACAAAGTCAGGCACATAGTAGGTGCTCAGTAGCTCTTGTATAAGATCATGGGCTTTGCAGGGAGCTTTGCTTTGGAGTGCACTACCTTTTCCCAGCTCATTCCCAGCTCTGTCCCTCCCTTGCCCCCCAGTGATCCTGTTGCTTCCCCCTTGGCTGGTTTTCCCACTGGGCCTCAGTCTTGTCCTTGGCCTACTGAGTCTGTTAGCTCATGGCTGAGGGTTTTCTGTAGGCCTTTCAGGGGCCATTAACTCCCTTGCCTGGGGAACCCTATTAGCATCATTGGATTATCCTCTCGGATCATAAAAGAACTGAATTTTGGAAATATTTGCCAGCCTGCCAGATTTTTCATAGTCCTTCACGTTTTCCTTATGTTCAAGGGACATCAGATGTGTCCCTAGAAACCCTGCATGCCTTCCTTATGGATATGGGCATAGAAAGATGACCTGTCATGTAGGAGCCATTTCTCATTGCCCTGTTCTGCCCTTATGGTCGGGCAGGTTGAGGACAAAGGGAGACTTCAGACTCTGGGTTCCCATCTTTTTATCAGCTGAAGGAGTGGACAGCATCAGGAGTCTGACCTGCAGGAGACTCGGCTTCCCAGGCCCCCACCAGAAACGAGAAGCCCGATGTCGTAGCCGTCTTTCTAGCACTGGCAATGGCAAGTCTCCAGGGAGCTCTAAGCCACTGGAGCCCGAGGCAAATAGGAAGTAACATTCTCCATCTGCCCTAGGTGCTCTGAGAGGTAAAAGTGGTCAGAACAGAGCATTGTGGTCCTCCATGGGAAGGCGCAGTGAAAAATTCAGTGGAAATGGTAATTTAATGACTCTCTTTGGGTTGGCTCTTTTAGGGAGGGACATTGCTTGGGCCCCCAGACTCTGTGGTTGATGTGGGGAGCACAGAAGTCACAGAAGAAATCTTTCTGGAGTACCTGTCCTCCCTGGGGGAGTCTCAGTTCCGGTGAGTGGAGACAAGGGTGGTGGTTAGTTGTGTCTGTCTCCCCCACTAGATAATCACCCCCCAGAGGGCAGCCACAGTCACATCCCGAGAGTCCTCAGCACCAGGCCTGGCCCAGCATTTGCTGAACAAACAGGCCGAGGAGGCAGAAGAGCGCAGCGTCGCTCCAAGGCTGACGCTCCACCCCAGCAGGCCTCCTGCTGGGACTTGGAGGAGGACCGGCTATTGATTCTTCCTGATTAGAGTCAGCTGCTGCTATTTCAGCATCTTCTGTTCTCAGCCTACACTGGCCAAGTTTTTTGTGCTGAAAATCAAAACCAAGGTGTGTAGAGGGGTTGGGATACAAACTTGAGCAGATTTTCTCTTAAAGAAGCTTTTGTCGATTCAATAACTGTTAAACTTGAACCCTAGAGCTCTGTTTTTGTGAAAGTAAAGATTGTCCTGAAATTATAGAGGAGCCTCATGTTTATATCTCATCCTTCCCTTCAAAATCTGTTTCCAGTGGTCCAGCTAGTCCTCAGACTCAGCTGTGCTCCCCCTTCCATGACTCGGTGAGTATTTCATGTGCCTGGCTCGCTCACGTCTGTGCTCCTTTCTCACAATGTACAGAGGTGAGGCCTACAACCTCTTTGAACACAACTGTAACACCTTCAGCAACGAAGTGGCCCAGTTCCTGACCGGGAGGAAGATCCCCTCGTACATCACTGACCTTCCCTCTGAAGTTCTCTCCACGTAAGTGTCCCTGCCTCTGCCTCTGCCTTACCTTTTAAGTCCCCATCCCTAGCCAGGGCCACTCCTCTGCCAGGGCTGCCCTCCCCTGGTCTCACCAGAATCTCCCCACGCCTGGTGGGCCCTGCCACGATGGCAGCTTCTAACACGGAAAGCCACCATTTTCTCTACTTACCGATGTGTACTTGTGTTACCTTCACCCCACTTGGTCTGAGTACAATCATAGAACTTAGAATCTGGCCTCTGTCTCTCCCGTTGCACACGAAGCATGCCACTCCCCAGAAGTGCCTGCTAATGACGCAGTCTTAGATGGAGAAGCAGAGAGTAGGTCAGAGAATCCCGAGGGCGGCTTGTTGTTAGTCTTCCTTCCCCTGCACCATGAGCTCTTTGACGCCCTCAAAACCAACTTCCTGCTTGCCCTCGTAACTTACGGGCCATCACCCAGGCAGTCCCCTAAAAGGACACACACACACCCAAAGCCACCAAACCCCTCCATTCCTTTGCTACTGACTGCGTTCAGGCAGCCTCTGCCCACTCCAGGACCATGACCATTTGTTGACAGACTCAGTTTCTCCTGGACTGGGCCCTGTCCGACAGGGATCCCGGCAGGTTGAGCAGGCTCAGCCAGGGGAGCTGTTTTCACACCTGGGTAGGAAGCCCTCAGGAAAAACTGCATAGAAACAAGGCTGCCCTGGCCCAGCCCTGGCCCTACCTTCCTTGGCAGGTGTGTTCAACCACACTGCCTTCCTAAGGATCTAGGTTATGAGCCCTGAGCAAGCTTTAGTAGCTGGAATGTTCTTGCTGTTATTATTTGATGGGTGGAGACTGAACTAAGGTCACTATTTCTGCTTTGGAATGCGTCATTCCCTTTGAATTTGGGGACAGTTTTCCAAAATGGCAGTATCCACTGAAGGGAACAACCCTAGTAACTGAGATATGTTGTGGACAACCTGTTTTTTTGTTTTTGTTTTTAATATATTTTATTGATTTTTTACAGAGAAGAGGGAGAGGGAGAGGGATAGAGAGTTAGAAACATCGATGACAGAGCCGAAACCAGTTTGGCTCAGTGGATAGAGTGTCGGCCTGTGTTTCTAACTCTATCCCTCTCTCTTCCTCTCTGTAAAAAAAATCAATAAAATATATTTTAAAAAAAGAAAAAAGAAAAGAAAAGAAACATTGATGACAGAGAAACATCAATCAGCTGCCTCTTCACACCCCCTACTGGGGATGTGCCAGCAACCAAGGTACATGCCCTTGACTGGAATCAAACCTGGGACCTTTCAGTCCACAGGCCTACGCTCTACCCACTGAGCCAAACCGGTTTCGGCATGGGCAGCCTGTTTTAAGGCTGAGGTAATCTTGGAGAGTCTCTGACCCCCGGTGTTGCAGTTCCAGCCAAGCTCCTCTAAGAACAGATGGGAGCCCTTACAAAGAGGCATTAGCACCTGGCCGCCTGCGTGTGTTTCCTGACTTCCTGTGCCCCTAGCGGAATGTCCTGCCTTTACCTTTTTCATGTCTCTTTTTCCCTCCGCTTCCTCAGTGAACTCTCTTTTATCTTCTTGTACCATGGAAAGTGAAGATACAAGTACAGACAGTACAGGCAGCTCTAGTCCCTGTATGTGGCCAGCCTGTCCAAGCCAGAGAACTAACCAGGACGTAGCGATGGAGGGAGTGAGATGGTAGCATCTACTGGGGAGGGACCAGGTGTCAGAATGCAGAGCGGGCTCTTAGAGGCCCTCCCATGAGGCACGGGGGGGGGGGGGGGGGAGATGAGATGAGGTAAGCATGTCCTTCCCAGGGTGGTGACGCTGCACCTGTGGGGAGCGGGGTGTGCTGGCGTCAGCGAGCCCCCCCGAGCCCCTGTGTCTGCTTTCTCCGCAGCCCCTTCGGACAGGCCCTGCGGCCCCTCCTGGACTCCATCCAGATCCAGCCTCCCGGAGGGAGCACCATGGGCCGGCCCAATGGCCAGAGCTAACAGGACTGCATGGGACCGCCCTGCCTCCAGGGCTTTTCCTTTTTAAACAAAACAAACCCAACCAGATTTCTATTTTATAATTTTACACCAGAGCTAACAACCAGGGGACAGCTTTTTACATTCCCAGGGAAGGAGACCACCAGGCCGCATGTAGGACAATGCTGCTAGAAACGGAACAAAATGCCATCCCTTTGAATAGTATTATACTAATTTATTAAGGCTGCCTTGTCTGTGCGTTCACTTGACGCTGCTTCCTCAGCGTCCTCCACGCTCGAGGAAAGGAGGGGGTTTGTTTAAGCAGAAAGCACAGTTTGGGGGAGCCCCAACCTAGAACCTCTTTGCAGAAAACACCCACGCTCTTCCCAGGTTGCCACCTCCTGTGGGGGCCCAGGTGAGTTTTATAACAGCCATGACCTGGAAGCAGTTCCTCTCTAGTGTTAAACGAGCCAAAGGAGTTGGTGCCCGTGGAACTAGTGTCAGGATGGCTCCCCAACCTAAGTGAACTCTCTAGTCACAGCCCGGTCACCTCCCCTCCTCCACCCCAAGCAGGCCAGTCACCTTCCCTCCTCCATCCCAGGCAGGCCGGTCACCACCCCTCCACCCCAGGCAGGCCGGTCACCTCCCCTCCTCCACCCCAAGCAGGCCAGTCACCTTCGCTCCTCCATCCCAGGCAGGCCGGTCACCTCCCCTCCTCCACCCCAAGCAGGCCAGTCACCTTCCCTCCTCCATCCCAGGCAGGCTTGTCACCTCCCCTCCTCCACCCCAAGCAGGCCGGTCACCTTCCCTCCTCCATCCCAGGCAGGCCAGTCACCTTCCCTCCTCCATCCCAGGCAGGCCAGTCACCTTCCCTCCTCCATCCCAGGCAGGCCTGTCACCTCCCCTCCTCCACCCCAAGCAGGCCTGTCACCTCCCCTCCTCCACCCCAAGCAGGCCGGTCACCTTCCCTCCTCCATCCCAGGCAGGCCATGGGGCCAGAGCTGGAGCCGCCAGAAGCCTCAGGATCGAGGGAGAGCGACAGTGTGAGGCAGAGCAGACAGGATAAAGCCATTCCTCCTCCTCCTAGACGGATGGCCAGTCCTCAGACATCGGGTTTGGAGAAGCTTGCTGCCTAAGGCTGCCCTCCCTCAGCATGGCTGACCTGTCGTCATTAACGAGGGTCCGGCTGGAGCGGAGAGACCCCGGGCCCCGTCTGTACGTAACAGTGTAGGTTATTACAGTCACCGTCCCGACCCCGCCCAGACCAGTGTGCAGTGTTCAGCCGGGACCAAGGGCAATGATTCCCTGCTCCAGGAAATGGAGAAAGAATAATAATGCAGAGTCAAGGTGGCAAGAAATGTAGTTGTTTCTGATAGGATCTGTACGTTATCCTAAATGTGTCATGAAGACATTTGTTTCTGTCATTTTGACTTGAAGGAGGCATGGTAGGGGGTGTGTAGCCATTTTCCCATGAGCTGCTGCCGAGAGCTTATAGGCAGGGAACAGTCAGTCTAGAAGTATCTCATCCTGAGAGGCTTTCAGATTCCCTCTCTTCACTTGCGCCTCCCCTTAGTTCGCTTTTGGGGAAGCGAGGGTGGAGAGAGGACTCGGCTGCCAGGTACCTGAGGCCCAGCTCTGGCATTGCCCTCCTGCCACTTCTTAGCCTTGAATCATGTTGTCTTTCCTGGGGTCTGGCCTGCAGCAGGTGCCTTTCTTTTCCAAAAAGCTGCTGCTCCCCTTTGGCCCCTCCTGGCTGTGCCATCCGCAGAGCAGTTGGCATCAGGTCTCGGCTCGAGGAAAAGATGTTAGTCTGCCTTAGTGCTTGCCTATGACCTGACCAGCTGTGAGGTCACGTGACATTTTGGAACTTTTCCGATGGGAGGCCAAACGAATGAGCGTTTAATTCTTCTCAAGACCCACTGACTTGCCAGAAAGCATGGCAGTGGTACATTAGAGCAGAAACTGGCAGGGATCCTTACTTAATGTTCACCGACTGGTAGACTGGACCACAGGGAATTACTTTCTCCCAGGAGGGAGCACGCTGGCTCCTTCTTGCCTGGGTGTCTCCTTTCCCAGCTGCCTGGCCCAGCCCTCCCTCTACCAGGCTCTTCCTCACACCTATCCACACAGAGCTTCAGCCAGAGGGTGCTGGGCATCACAGCTCCTCCTCCTCCTCCCCTCCCCATCTCCGGGCCTAACTGGTTTCTCCTCCCACAGTCACCTCCAGATCCAGGGCCCTCCTGAAAAATGGCTCCCCTAAGAGACTGAGTCACTTGGTCCATTGAGTCCCCCTCATGCCCGGCAGCCATTTGTGCCAATGCCTGTGCCCTGGGGAGAGACAGAAGGATCAGAGCCCTGCAGGAAAGCACGCTCTCCCTCCCAACCCACGTCCTACAGCGCTAACTTCGGAGCCCAGGCTCAGACTCGGACCCCCTCACGTTTCTGTCTCCCAGCACCTCAGGAGCGTGTCCATGTGCCCAGCTAGCTCCACACGGGCGTGCACGGGTGGCCAGAGTGACTGTGGTGCACAGTGGACCCCTCCATGGCAGGTCGCTGGTTAAAGGGATGGAAAGGTGCGATGAGACCGCCACCCCTCCCAGAAATAAAGCTTGTACCTTTGAGATTTCTTTTTGCCCTTGAAGTCAAATAACTGTTTAGTACGGAGGTGTTTGCTGGTTTTCTTTGATGTTTTTTTCTAACGCAATAAACTCACTGCCTGCTGCCTTTGTGTCGTATGTGAAGGTCTGGGTGAGCATCCAATAAGAAGCCCTGGCTTTTTTGTCTGTCTCCCTCTGAGCTTGACTTTGCTGAGTCTGGATGTGCCACCTTTGCTTGGTTGTAAGCCTTAGAGATAAGAAGTGGTGAGAGCAGGAAAGAGTGTATGACTTTCACCACTGATTTACAAAGAACCCTGCTGGAAAGAGCCAGATAAGGTTACGCTGCGGTGAGAGAGATGGGCACCAGGTGGCGCTGTGCACCCCACAACACTGCCCGCAATCAAACTCGGCTGACCTGGATACCGCGGGTCACATGACTGCCCTGCTCCCCACACACCTCTACCCTTCCGTGGCCCACTGGGCAACACATTTATCACGGTCCCCAGATCTCCAACCCCACACCCTCTGCAAGAGCAGCCCTATCACTGCAGGCGGTTTCCACCTCTGGCCTTAACATTTGCTGGACCTGGATTCTCCCTCCTCACCTACCCTCAAGAGCAGCCCTCCTCAGGATTGCAAAGCCTTTGCCCCTTCCCTCCTGCGGGTGCCTCCCCAAACACTCCTCTGCCAGCTGGGGCAGGGCCTGGCTGAGGTCATCTGAGTGCCCACGGGGCCTGGCAGAGAGCTGTGACTCAGTCCTCAGGCCCACACTGAGGGGGAGAGGTAGGTCATAAAAAACCCTGGACCTGGATCCAGACACCCCGGATTGAACCTCTGCCTCAGATACCTTGATCAGGCCTTCCCTTCACTGGGCCTCAGTTCATTCTGTAGAATTAAAACTGCATCAGTACTCTCTAAGGCGCCTCCTTGTGGGACTCCTCTCTCCATCCCTGGCTTGAGAGGTGAGGAGTGACTTGCCCAAGGAAAGAATTCAAGTCCTTGCAGGACTGATACCACAGGTCTAAGCCTCAGAAATCACTAACCCCAGGTGCCAGGAGGCTGCTGTCCTGCTTCCCGCCCCCAGGTGGGGCAGTGCTGGGGCCCAGCCATCTATGTCCCCACTGGCTTTGGCTGAGGGATCCCCCAGGGGGCCTGTGCCAACCCAGCAAAAGTCTCCACCCCTCCACAAAACACCGGTAAACATGCGCTCTGCGGCTGTTTAAATGTAACACTAGTTTATTGTGAAAACAATGTGAACTCTGCAGGCACTTTGGAAAATTAAGAAAATACTGCCAACACCCACCGTCTCCCCAACCACCCACTGTCCCAACCAAGATGGAATTAAAACCAGCAATAGCTCTAACCTACTCCTCTTTAAGCACATCCCCCCCCCCCCCGCACCCAGAGAGGCTGCAGTGGTGGTCCCATCTATTCTAATAAAAGGGTAATATGCTGATTAGAGCTGATGTCTTCTGTACTCCATCCGGATGTCCATCCAGACAAAGCCACAGCAGCTGCAAGGCCTGGGGCTCAGGCAGCCTTGCCCCCTGGCAGCTGCGAGGCCCAGGGCTCAAGCAGCCGTGAGCCCTGGCCAGCCAGCAGTGACAGCAGCGGGGTGATGGGTGGTACCTTCCCCTGATCAGCCTAGTCACCTCCCGCCAGACTGAAGCTTAGGCCCACTCTCCATGAGGAGAGGCCTAAGCAGTTAGGAGGACATCCCCTGTGGGCTCTTGGTCTGTGAGAGGGACCCCCCCCCCTTAGTTTATATTAATATATAAGGAACAGACCAGAGAGTGGGAGGGGCCCGCCCAAGGTCACCTGGGGAGAGGCAGCTCCAGGAACTCCCAGCCTGACGGTACACCCCTACACCTGGGCTGCCCCTGGGCTGGGACTGCCCTCCCTCAGAAGCTCACACTCCAGAGAGGGAACAAAGGGTCAGCACCCCGTATTCATCTGCAACAGGCTGACCTTGGCCTTCCACCACGGGGCGCGGGAAAAGCCTGGGCTTTGGGGGAACGGAGCTGAATGAGTCCCGCCTGCTCTGTGTGCCCCGGGAAAGCACCTTCAGCTCTCCGGTGTCCGTACCTACGTCTGAACATCGAGTGTCGGCGCAGTCAACGCAGAGGATTCCGGCAAAAGAAATGAAATGCCCAACGGATGAGCTATACTGCCCAAAGCAAACATGGAGTCACTAACCTGCAGACCTCAGCCAGCTGTCTGGCCCAGAAGAGCCTAGGCTTCCTTCGTGAGCAGGATCCTGCCAGGATGGGGTCTCAGGCGCCCTGCCTTCAGGCCCGGCTTCCTTGGTGCTCTGCAAGCACCCTCTGGCCAGGCCTCCCAGCCCCGGTACCCAGCCCTGCTCCTCGCTTTCCCTGGGGCCTCCGCAGGGCCCCATCTGAACACCGGTTGCCAGGGAAAAGCCTCCCTCTTAAAGGGACATGCTGGTGGCCATAAGGGCCACCCCTTCTGGTCTTCCTGGGTCCTGAGTCTCCCCCGGGGCAGTTCACTCCCCCTCTCTGAATTCAGAATCCTCATCACTGAAATGAGTAGTGAGAATTCAGGGAGAGGTTGTGAAAGGTATTTGTCAGGAAACTGGTTCACTACAGGTCTAAGGTGTAGGTGTGATATTGTTGGGAGCTTATCTTTGTCTTTGAAAAGGTGGAGCTGCCGAAACCGGTTTGGCTCAGTGAATAGAGTGTCCACCTGCGGACTGAAGGGTCCCAGGTTCGATTCCAGTCAAGGGCATGTACGTTGGTTGCAGGCACATCCCCAGTCGGGGGTGTGCAGGAGGTGGCTGGTCGTCGATGTTTCTCTCTCATCGATGTTTCTAACTCTCTATCTCTCCCTTCCTCTCTGTAAAAAAATCAATACAATATTTAATAATAATAATAATAATAATAAAAATAAAAAATAAAGGAACCACAAAGATGGTCTGAAATTAAACTTGAACTAAAAGCAGTGATGGTGGGCAGTTAAATCCTGGCCAGTATCTTCACTTACAAGGTCAACTTTTAACTTAACTGAACCAATCTGTTTTTTTGCATCTATGATAACATATCCTTGAAATATCTGGGTAACTTGTAAATTCCCTTTTTCTGGGGCACAACCAACTGTGCTGGGCGCCAGGACTGAGACCACAAATCCCTTCATTATCATGTTCATTGTTCCTGCGCCCACCTAAGTATGCTATGTGTCCATCATTTTACTTTTTATCCAATCCCAGTGGTTTCTTCCCCCCTCCCTTTGCTTTATCCCACCTCCTTAATCTATCATCAATTAACCCATATATGTCCCTCCTTTGATTGCCATTCTCCGGAGCGTTATCTCAATTCGTTGAGGTTTTGCTTCCTAGCTTACGCCGACAGTTTGGCTCAAATAAACTCACAAAAATTCTTTACAGGTTTCAATGTTTTATTTACATTAACACCCCTTAATAGGCAGGGATCGAGCCTGAAACCCGTGAATCGAATTTGAAACCTCTCAATGCATGGGACAATGCTCAACCAACCGAGCCACACCGGCCAGGGCATAAATGTTCTTATAGTTTGAATCTTGAATTCTTTCCTAGCAAGAACTCAAGTACAGAGGTTGCTGCACCTTGGTCCAGTCTGACCCCACTGGTGTAACACCTGGTGCTTTTTTCCACCGCCAACAATCTTATAGATGGACCGTGGTTAATTTATCCAACCCCCAATTTATTTTTTTCTTCATATTTTCTAAAAGTAGAATTGCTGGCTCAAAGGGTCTGCACAATTTAAGACTTCTGACAGGAAATGGCCTTTTAATCAGTAAGAGTATCAAACACATCTAGTATATGTTTTCCTTTGGAATGGGTCTGCTGTGTGCCTGCTATAATACTTTGTGGGCTCTCCTATTTTTTTTTTCATGTGCAAAGCAACCCTACAAAGTAGGTAGTATTCTTCCCATTCTGCCAATAGAGACACAAAGTTTCAGAGAAGTGAAATGACTTATCCAAAGTCACATAATGGTGGACCTGGGAAGACAACCCAGAACCAACTCCAGAGTCAATGTGATGATCAAATAGTTATGAATAAGGATCCGGGAAGGCTTTTTTGAAGGAGGTGGACTGTGAGCTGAGTCTTAGGAGGTGGACAGAAGGACAGCAGGAGGAGTAAGGGAGGGAAAAGAAAGCCAGCTGGCAAAGTCTATAGCCAGAGCAAAGGGCATGAGATTTCTTCAAGCTCAAGATTTTTAGGGCAAAGGCATTAGCAGGGAGGGGCGAGTTATGGAATGATTGAAGGCAGACGATGAAAGTCGGGATGGTCCAGCCCTCGCCCCGCCTGGCCCTGTCGAGGCCCCGCCCCTGTCCACCCCTCCACCACCTGATGCAATCAGAATCATCCCGCCACCGTCCGACCTAGGCCCAGCCCCGCTCTTCCGGGCTCTCCTTCTCTCTCAAAGCAGCGGGCCCCAGGCCCCGCCTCCGTACGGGTTGGAACAACACGGCCTTCCCAGCTGGGCTTGCTCCGCCCTATTCCCCGCCCCTTCTCTGCCTGGTGCAATCAGAACCATCCTTACAATCCGCTCAGGCCCGCCCCTCCCCGCCGAGACCACGCCTCTCGGCACAGACTCACCAGTCCTGCCTTAGCGCCCGGCTCTCCAAGGTCTGCCCTCCCAGGCCCCGCCCCTCCAAGGCCTCGCCCCTCATTGGGTCTGCTCCTCTCAGCCCCGCCCCCAGCGCCCGCCCCTCCCAGGCCCCGCCCTCCATTGGGTCTGTCCCCTTAGGCCCCGCCTCGGGATGGCCCCGCCCCTCCTGCCCCGCCCAGGCCCCGCCCTATGGAAGAGCCCCTTCTAGACGCGGCTCAGGCAGCCACATCCCGGGCGCGCGGGCGCGGAGCTGCAGCCATGGCTGTGGCCGCTGAGGGCGCCCGCAGGAGGGAGCGCGTCCTCTGCCTGTTTGACGTGGACGGGACCCTCACGCCCGCTCGCCAGGTAGGGGCCCGACGCTCGGGAGCTGCGGTGGGGAATGTCCCGCGGACCCCCGGAAGCCGAGTGTGGGGCCTGCGGCGGCGTGACCCCGGCCTCTGAGGCCGAGTGTGCGCTGCAGAGGTCCCGGCCCCTGGCTCGGGGGACCGCCCGGTGGCAGTGATGGACACGCGGGTCCTCCTGTCACAACCCCTCTGCCCGCGATCACCCGAGCGGGGTGGGTTCTGGAGGGAGGAGGCTGCAGCAGGGGCCTGGCTCCCCTCCCTCCCCCTCCGCCAGGCTTCCACACGCCGGGGCTTGCATCTCGGACGCCCCCTGCTCCCCAGCCGCGCGCTCCCCGTTTCAGCCCTAGGACGCACGCAGGGGTAGCCATAAACTGGCGTCTGCACCCAGGGTTTCCGATGGGGCTTGGAGCGCACCCAAAGGCCATCTCGTGGGAGCAAAGGGGTTTCAGTACCATCCCACCCGACCTTTGCAGGCCCCGGCCTGGATCTGGTTTCTCAAGCCACTCTCCCGCCTGGCTGTCCACCCCAGCGGTGGGGAGGGGGAGGGCTCACTGTACTTTCCCGTTGAGTATGGGCTCTGCCCACCTGGAGGGGAGAGTTCCCAGGCCCGATGTGGTCACATTGGGGGTTCTGTGGCGCTGGGAAGGTGGGGGTGCCGTTCTTTGAAAGGCATCTCACCATATTTATTCTCTAGCCTCTGCTCCAGTTTTGATCCCTTTGGATTCCACCCTGGATGAGCCTCTGGGCCCTTCCTCACCAGGCTGGGGCCACAAGGACCGACTACTTAGGGTTCTAGACGGGGAGCCGGTGGGCGGGGCTGAGGGCAGAGGCTGATGGGAACACAGGTCTTAGCTTCCTTCCCCTTTTGGGTCCTGAAGTCTCCTTGGGAAGGCCCCGGCTTGGCCCTGGGGGCACAGGGAGGAATCCGGCCTCCCTGACCTCTGGCAGTCCTCAGGGAGGGGAGAAAGATGGTGGCGGAGGGAGAAGTAGCTGGCCCGGGAACAGCCCCCACCCTTTCCTCTTCCTCTTTGCTCTCTGACCCAACAGCCTATACAAGAACCGTGTGTTCGTGCTGTCCACCTATGTTGTCAGACCCTGTCCTTAGTGCTTTTTAAAAGTTAATTTTTAGCCGAAACCGGTTTGGCTCAATGGATAGAACATCGGCTTGGGGACTGAAAGGTCCCGGGTTCGATTCCGGTCAAGGGCATGTACCTTGGTTGCAGGCATATCCCCAGTAGGGGGTGTGCAAGAGGCGGCTGATTGATAACTCTCTCATCGATGTTTCTCTCTATCTCTCTCCCTTCCTCTCTGTACAAAAATCAATAAAATATATTTAAAAGTTAATTTTTAATTATGCAAGTATTCATAAATGCATTCTCTTGCAAAGAATGACAACAGAGAAGACTGAAGTCCCCTCTGACTGTGTCAGGATGCAACCCTCTCCCCAAAGTAACCTGGTTGCCTATTTATTGTGTGGCTCCTTCCTCCCAGATCTTTATCCGGGTCTCTGTTTATCCAGAGGAAATAGAATACATTGTTTTATGAGGCTTTCAAAAAATATTATCATAACATCATACTGTGGTGCCTTCTTGCAACATGATTTTTTTAAAATTGCTTTTAGAGAAAGGAAAGGGGAGAGAGACACTGATTTGTTGTTCTACTTGTTTATGCATTCATTGATTGATTCTTGTTTGTGCCCTGACTGGGCATCCAGCCAGCAACCGTGGTGTATCGGGATGATGCACTAACCAGCGGATAACCCACTGAGCTGCCCAGCCAGGCTTGCAGCTTGCTTTTTTTTTCTCTCTCTCTCTTTATATTTTATTGATTTTTCACAGAGAAGAAGAGAGAGGGACAGAGAGTTAGAAACATCGATGAGAGAAACATCACTCAGCTGCCTCCCGCACACTCCCCACCAGGGATGTGCCCGCAACCAAGGTACATGCCCCCGACCGGAATCGAACCCGGGACTCTTCAGTCCGCAGGCCGACGCACTATCCACTGAGCCTTGTCTTGGCTGCAGCTTGCTTTTGACAACAAGCATGTCTTAGGACTCTCATGTAGGAAGTACAAGGTCTGCCTTATTCTGTGTCACCGCGGTATATTTCAGAACAGGTGTGTGCCATTCTCTGATTGGCGAGCAGGTATGTTGCTTGTAGTTTTCCACTATTATAAAACCAATGGGCCTCCATATACACGTGAGAAAGAAAAGTGGAAATTTGGGTATGGGGCCCGTGCATTTTAAGTTTTAATAGATCTTGCCTTGTTACCCTCCAAAATGGCTGTACCAATTCACACTCAGCTTTTGAGCGAGTGTGTGTGTGTGTGTGTGTGTGTGTTTCCTCTGTATCCCCTTCCACCCTTGATATTATCAGCTTTGAATACCGGGCTGTTTGAAAACATGGATGAAAACTCATTAGTTTGCATTTCTTTGATGGGTAACCTTTCCACATAATGGGTGGCTAGTTAATGGCTTGACCCCCTGCATGTGTTGCTCCCATGACCCCCATTTTATAGACAGAGAAAGGCAAAGCCATTTGCTCAGGGTCGTTTTGTGGTGGAGGGACCTGAGCCAGAGTCTGAACCCAAGTGCTTCTGGTTGCTTCCAGGTCTGTGTTCTAAGCCTTGAGCTGCCTCAGGTCCAGGTGGAACAGGGGCCCCCGGAGCCTGAGCACTGAGCGGGGGCTGACAGCGGGATCTGTGCTTCCCTGCCCCCTGCAGAAAATTGACCCTGAGGTGGCTGCCTTCCTGCAGAAGCTCCGAAGCCGGGTGCAGATCGGCGTGGTGGGCGGCTCGGACTACTCCAAGATTGCCGAGCAGCTGGGAGAGGGGGATGAAGGTAGGACAAGCGGGCCAGAACCGGTCCAGAGGCCCACAGGCGGGCTGGTGTGGGTGAGGGGAGTTCGGGAGGTCCACAGACCCCCTCCTGTTTCTGCAGAGGAAGGAGAGGGAACAGCCATACGGCTCCCTCGCTGCCTCAGCAGCCATGCTGGGCCCGGAGCCTGGCTCTGTAGTTTTGGAGACACGGCAGGGAACCAGGCAGGCAGAATCCTGTCCTTATGGGGTTTATAGTCTCAGTTCTTCCTGCTGAGTCTCCATTTCCTCGTCTTTAAAATGGGCATAATCAGTAACGACTACCATTTGTTGAAAATGACTGTGTATTGACTTCCTTTCATCTAACCCTCACAACTCTGCCTCAGGGCGGACATGACTATCCCATTTTACAGAGGAGGAGGGTTCTGATGTCTCCCGGGAAGTTTTTGGACTCAGAACCCCGGTTCTCAGCTGAGTTCCTGATCTTAGCTCAGGCAGCTGCTCCAGCTCCTCAGACGAGAAATATCCATGAATTTCCCTTCTCCCCACCCACTCGTTCACTCCATCAGCCAGTCCAGCGGTATCTCCCTGTGTCCACCCCTCCATGTCCACCCTCCTCCCCCACTGTCCAGGCGGCCTCCCCCCCCCCGGACCCGCTGCAGCTTCTGGCTGGGTTCCGGGTGCCTCCCCACTCTGCCCCCTCAGGGCCGCCAGAGCTGGAGACTAAACTCGCAGGCAACCAGCCCTGACGGCTGTCATGGGAGCTGGAAAACCAAACCAAAGCCGGGCGCTGGGGACTGGGGAGCACCACGCGGAAATGCCGCCCTCTGCTGGGCAGTCCTGGAGGCTACCGGAGCGGGGGGGCCGGGTCTTGGGGGAGAGGATGGGGAAAGGGGGGAAGGGCGTCCCAGGCTGAGTGACCTGCATGCGCACAGCCTAGAGGGGTGCCTGGCCTGTTGGCTTGTTTGGGAGAAACCAACGCTGCAGGAAGTGAGAAATGTAGAAAAGCAGGTTGGGTCTTCGAATGCCAAGCCAAGAAGTGTGAGCTTTCTCTGTCCCGGGCTTCGGGTGCCTGGTCTCATGCTCCCTCTTTCTCCCCGGCTCTCCACGACCCTGAAGTCATTGAGAAGTTTGATTACGTGTTTGCCGAGAACGGGACGGTGCAGTACAAGCATGGACGGCTGCTCTCCAAGCAGGTTAACCACCCCCCCCCCCCCCCGCCCCACCCCTGGGCCTTGGCCCCGGACACTTCCCCAGAGAGACAGTCCTGGGCGGCGGGAGCGCCCCCGCCCGCCCTCACAGCCCTCGTCCCTGCCCAGACCATCCAGAACCACCTCGGGGAGGAGCTGCTGCAGGACCTGATCAACTTCTGCCTCCGCTACATGGCGCTGCTCAAACTGCCCAAGAAGCGGTGAGCCCGCCGCCCGCCCTGCCCGCCCCTCTCCGTCCTGGGCCTGAGGAGAAGGGTGGGTCTCTCCGATGGGACCTGCAGGTGCTCCGGCCCTGACTGGCGGGTGGATCTCGTCCCTGTGAGGTCCGGGAGAGCTGGATTGAATTCAGGGCCGTTCTCTCCTCTCTGACGCCCGCCTGCCCTCCCTCCCACCCATCACCACAGGGGAACCTTCATCGAGTTCCGGAACGGCATGCTGAACATCTCGCCCATCGGCCGCAGCTGCAGCCTGGAGGAGCGGATCGAGTTCTCTGAGCTGGACAAGGTGCCGCCTGGGCGATGGGACCCCGTCCCTCGCCCTCTGAGGCCAGCGGGGGTTCCCTCAGGACCAGTGGGAGGGGGGGAGGGGGCGTTCTGATAGGACCAGTGCCCCGTAGGCACCTACCAGGTGCATCTTCCCAGCATCACTGGTTTCCGCACCGGGGACTGACTCGGCCAGCTCCTCATTTCCTAAGCTCACAGCTTGGGCGTCTTCCCACCTACATGGGCCCAACAGCCATTCCTGTCCACTCAGCCTGGACGGTGGTCTCAGGTCTGCTCACCCGTGTGTCCCCTGCACCACCTGTTCTCCGGCTGAGCCATGGGGACCCTGGCACAGCACATCCTCTCCCTGTCCGCTCCGCCCTCAGCCTCCCAGGGCCCCCTTCCAGCTGGGCGCCGGCCCAGCCTCCTCCCGAGGTGCCTGAGCCTGCGGGGTCTGCCTGGCCGGCCCACCTCCTCCGCCTTCGGGTGGGCCGCTCCTGCTGAGCTTTGCCCCCTGCCCTCAGGAGGTGCTCAGCACTGAGGCTGGTGCTATGGGGGTGCCCGGCCTCCTGCTGACCCCCTGAGCGCCCCCCGCTGCTATCCGCAGGCCTCCGCAGGCTCTTCGCTCCCCCTGCTCCTGTCTGGCGTCTATGGCCGGGACCCGGGTTGCCTCTCCCCTCAGCCCCCCTCCTTTAGCCTCCACTCCCAGCTGTCCTCAGGGGACCCCCCACCTCCCACTGGCAGGGGCTGGCACTGAGCTCCGCCACAGACTCCCGGGTCCGGCCCTGGCTCTGAGTCAGGTGGGGCCGTGCTCTCCAGCTGAAGGCTCGGTGAGGCACAGAGTGCCAGCGGCGCCTGGCCCGCATCCTCTGAGCCCTGGTCTGCTTCCCTCCCCCCCCCCCCCCCCCCGCAGAAGGAGAGGATCCGGGAGAAGTTCGTGGAAGCGCTGAAGACGGAGTTCGCCGGCAAAGGGCTGCGGTTCTCCCGGGGTAGGTCCGGGCCGCTGGGGGCCGCCAGGCCTCCTCCCACCCCTCGGGGCCGAACGGGCAGCACGCTGTACGCTACGGCCCCCCGTCTTCCCCACCTGACCCTGGTCCTCACCCCTCCCTTGTCCTGGCCCAGTCCGGGATGCTCCTGGGATCTGACACTGCTCACACCTCCTCTGCCACAGCCTTGTCCCAGGCTTCCCTCTCAGGCTGTGCTGGCCTCCACGGCCCCCTCACTTCCACTCCACACCCCTGCTCAGACCCTCCAGCGGCTCCTCACTCCTAACGAAACCCCGGCCCCAGGCCCGTGCCCTCCCTCTGCCCTCTCTGTCGCTGGGACACGTGTTTACCTGCCCTGGGCTGTGCTTGCTCCCCAGCCGTCACCTCTCTGGCTTCCATCTCCGCTGTGTCACCTCCTCAGAGGTCTCCCCCCTGACCCGCTGGCCAGAGTGCTCACCCCGCCCCTCTGCCCTGCCCGCCTGCTCTGAGGCGGGCCGGCCTGTGACGGCTGCTCCCACCTGGACCGAAACTCCCGTGAGGATCCTGTCTGTCCCGGGCCTGGGCCTGGGCCTGGGCCTGGGCCTCAGCAGCCGCTCCGGGGCTGTGGAATGAGATGACGGACGGAGGGCCTTACTGCTGGCTTTGTCCCCCGGCCCCCGCAGGCGGCATGATCAGCTTCGACGTGTTCCCCGAGGGCTGGGACAAGCGCTACTGTCTGGACAGCCTGGACCCGGACAGCTTCGACACCATCCACTTCTTCGGGAACGAGACCAGCCCGGTGAGCGCTCCGCCCGGCCCGCCCGCCCGCCCCCCGGCCCCCCGGCCCGGCCAGGACACGGGGGAGAGGACAGCCCGGTGAGCGCTCCCCCCGGCCAGGCCAGGACACGGGGGAGAGAACAGGCGCTTGGGACACGCCCAGAGAACGGCCAGTGCGTGCCAGCCCATTGCACAGATTGCAAGGCTGAGGCCTGGAGCTGGTTGGACACTCGCCCCCTGTCACACCACAGGTCAGGGCAGACCCGGACCAGGCCAAGGCGGAGGGCTTTCTGGGTGTTTGAGGGGCAGCTCTGGAGGAGCCCGTGTGGGTGTGGGGAGGGGACCCCAGGCCAGGGTGAGGGCTGGTCCCCAGCCGCCAGCCTGTCTGCCTCCCGTGTGCAGGGCGGGAACGACTTTGAGATCTACGCCGACCCCCGGACGGTGGGCCACAGCGTGGTGTCCCCTCAGGACACCGTGCAGCGATGCCGCGAGATCTTCTTCCCAGAGACGGCCCACGAGGCGTGACCCCACTTCCCGAGACCGCCCGGCCGCAGGGCCCGGCCTGGTGCGGAGGGTGCCGGCCTGGTGTGGAGGGTGCCTGCCGGGACGCCCGCCTCGCCTCGCTCGCCTCGCCCGCCTCGCCTCGCTCGCCTCGCCCGCCTCGCCTGCTGGAGGCCGGGCCTGTGCGGGGACCGCCCCCCACAGCCCGCTCCGTCCTCACCCCGACAGCCCTGGCTCCACTGCTGCTTGTACCTCCGAACGGAACGGGTTTTGTCCACACTGGAGGCCGGAGGCGGCGTGTCTGCGGGACGGCCGCCTGCCTGCCTGCCGGGCCCGCCGGGGTGCAGGGTGCGGAGGGAGGGGAGGACGTGCACTTGGGAGAACTTGATCACAGACATTAAAGTTCCAACAAGGAGCGGCGTCCGCTCTGTCCGGATGGTACTGGCGCCAGGCGGTGCTGTGACAGCCACCTCTGGGTCACACAGGAGGCAAGGAGGGTGGTGTGGGGTGCCCTCCCCCAGCCCTCCCCCGGGACCCGGACAGACAGGCAGCTCCGGGCCAGGCTGAGTCACAGTTGAGGGTTTATTGCCAGTGTGAGGAGGACCGGGGTGGGGCCTCGGAGGGTTTGTGACTGGACACGGGTGTGAGTGACAGCATGCCCCTGACCTCTGCCGCCCCGGGTGGCCCCAGGGCTGGCGTCCCACGGCCCCCTCGCCAGTGCCTGCAGAGGGGGCTCTGCTCTCCGGACGGGCCCTGGGGCTCCTAGGGGTTAACCTGCAGCAGTAAACCTGCCCATGAGGCCAGGGAGTCCTTGTTCCCGCACGGAGAGGCCGGGGCCCGGCTCAGAGTGGGTGTGGGCTGGGCCGTTCCCCACTGGGGGGCTGCCAGGCTCCACCCTGGAGCCTTGGGGGATCCTCAGGGCTGGGGGTCCCAGACCGTCACTGACGCCTGACGCTGGGCATCTGAGCCGTTTACACGCAGACGGGCTCTCCGCCTGTCCTGGCAGCCCCCCTTTACCCCATTCAACCCCCACCAGGCGATGAGCTCGAGGAAGGGGAATCCCCCCACCCAAGAGTGAACGCATACAACACACATGCACACAGCACGCACACACGCATACACCTTAAGGGACGGACAACAGGAACCACAACTCGGCCGCTGGCTTGGGGGCCGGTGGGAGCCACCTCTCGGCTTTGGGAAGAGGGTGGCAGGGCTGGCGGCCTCCCAGGTTGAGGCTGCTCCTGTGGGTGCCCGTCTGGCCCTGCCTGAGGGGCCGTGTCCACCCACCAGCCACTGTGCTGGGCTCGGGCAGGGCGTCCGTGGGGCTTGTGAGTCAGGGAGAGGGGAGTCCTAGACCTAAGCTGGGGGGGTGTCCCACCCCCCTCTCCGCAGACCCGCACCTCCTGGGGAAATGGAGGCAGCAGGATTCCACGTGGCCAGGAGAGAAGATGGGACCTCAGGCTGGGGTTCACAGAGCCACTGCCAGGCTGAGGAGGAGGGACTGGCCAGCAAAAGGAGCCCCAAGCTGCCTCCTGCCCTCAGGCCCTTTCCCACCGCCAGTGTGCTGAGAGCGGTGAGAGCTGGAGGAGGCAGGCGGCCTGGCCCAGCCCCCGAGGAGGGCCTGCTGGCTTCCACCTGTCACCACTCCTGCCGGAGGCTGGAGGCCCCGAAGTGCTCAGGGCCTGGCTTCTGAGGGTGGGGCGGGCCAGCACTGGAGCCTGGGCCCAGGGTGGGCTGAGAAACAGGCAGAGTCCGGCCGGGCAGGGCCAGAGGCCCAGGCTGCGGGGGAGCTTGTCCCTGCAGCCCCGGGTGCCCCCGCCGCCCAGCCCAGGCCTGATGCAGGCTCTGGAGGTGCAGTGGCCACAGGACAGGTGGGCAGGGGCGAGAGGGCCTGTGCCCACCTGGCAGGGAGGGGAGGAAGGAGAGTGGACAAGCAGAGAGGGCGGGTCGGTGGCCTCCCCCTCAGTCCAGCTCACACAACAGTCACAGGTCACGGGGCTGGATGGAAGCACACGGGCAAAACAGACAGACAGACGTGCGCACTGAGGCTGCCTGGGGGACCGGGCCGGCCAGTGCCGTGGGGCGAGGAGCCTGCCCGCCTGTCCCCCCGGGGGGCGCCCGCCCAGCCTAGGAGCCCACGACCTGCCCGGACCACGTCTCGTGGGGCGTGTGCGGGGCCAGCTGGGTGAGCACCACCTCCACGGCCTGGAACTTCTGGTTCTTGGGGGGGATGGGGCACATCTTGTAGGTCACCTCGTCGCCCTCCACGGGGACGTAGTCCCCCTCGATGCTGGAGGCAGAGGAGGGGCGTCAGCCCGATGGCAGCTCCCTCCCGGACACCCCCTGCAGCGTGGCCCGAGGCCGGCCTGGCCTCCCTCAGCATCTCGGCCCCCTGGTCTGCAAACGGGGACACAGACTGTCCCTCCTCCGTGCTGGGGGGGTTAGTGAGATGTGAGGCTCAGAGGGCTGTGACTGCCCAGGTCACGCCTGGCATTAGGGCTGGGACCCAGGCCTCGCCCACCTCCCCCCTCCCTCCCTCCCTCCCTGCTGCAGGCCCCCCTGCTCAGCCACGGCTCCCAGCGCTTGGGGTCTGAGGGCCCCTCCCCACCTGGCCCAGCCCTCCTCCTCCCCCACACCCCAGCCCCGATGGGGGGTGCCAGGAGCAGGCTCAGCCAGGGAGGGCACCGGCATGGCTGGGCGGGACTCACTCAGACACGTGCACGAAGATGTCCTCGGAGCCGTTCTCGGGGGTGATGAAGCCGTGGCCCTGTGAGCGGGAGAACTGCTTGCAGACGCCCTTGAACACGGGGCCGGCCGAGGCGCGGGCTGTCCTGAGGACGGTCGGGGAGTGGGGCTGCGGCCGAGGGGTCCCCAGGCCCCACAGCCTCCCAGCCCAGAAGCCACACAGGGGTGCTGACTCAGTCCTTTCAGCATCCCAGAGAGAAAGGACCCCTCTGCACAGCGCCCCCACTCCGCACTGTCTCCTGAAGCCATGGCATCTCACGCATGTCACGTGCCCCTTCTTCATTCATTAACCATCTGCTCCGTGCCAGCCGTGGGTGGACACAGGAGTCACCCGGCACTTGCCATCAAAAAATTCCTCCTGCCCTAGCCGGTGTGGCTCAGTGGATAGAGCGTCGGCCTGCGGACTGAAAGGTCCCAGGTTCGATTCCGGTCAAGGGCATGTGCCTTGGTTGCGGGCACATCCCCAGCAGGGGGTGTGCAGGAGGCAGCTGATCGGTGTTTCTCTCTCATGGATGTTTCTAACTCTCTATCCCTCTCCCTTTCTCTCTGTAAAAAATCAATAAAATATATTAAGAAAACAAAAACAAAACTTCTCCTTCAGCCAAGTCAGTCTCCCTGAGGGTCCCACAAAGCCCCTCCCTCATGCACCCCAGCCAGTGACTGTCCCCAGAGGCCCACCCCACACCAAAGGCCCCCCTGTGCCTCCGTTTTGGCCCAGGCTGTTCCATCCTCCACCTGCTAGAGCTTCCAAACGCAGCTGAGACGGCCTCTTCCCTGGTGCCTCACGCGGGTCCTCACTCCCGGCCCTGCCGGAGGGACTGGATGGGGGCGAGTCCCCTTTGGACTGGGTGCAGCCTGTGGGATCTAACTCGCCCCGGGTCCCCTGGTCAGGAGCCCGTAAATCTTGGTGGAATGAATGAATGAATGAATGAACACTAGCAGTTATGGAAAGTGCATTCACAGCTCTCCGTCCTTGGGAAGGAAGACAGGCTGGGGAGGAGGGGCCCGAAGCCGGGGTGAGGGGCAGGTACTCACGCCGAATACGTCCTGGTCCGCTTGGTGGGCAGGGGGCTGGGCAGGTCCCGGGTGGCCACGCCGCCCCGCTCCCAGACCCGGCTGCCCTCCCGGTGGAAGGGGAAGGTGGGCCAGACGGGGGACTTGGGCGAGTCGAGCGGGGGCACGACCGGGGCCGACGTGGGCTCCGAGGTCATGGCGGGGCCGGCAGGAGAGCTGGCGGGCTCCCGGGGCCGGTGAGGGGCCTGGGCGTCCTGGTGGGCAGGGCCCGGCCTGGCCCTGCTCAGCGGCCTCGGCAGCCACAGGCCTCGTCTGGAGGGGAAGAGAGAGGCAGAGGTGAGTGTGATCCCGGACGGACACTGAGCACAAGTCTGGGACCTCACAGCTTCTCCACTCTGTGCTCATCAGGAAGACAAAACAATCACACCACCTTGCTGCGGGCTAAACTGCATGCCCTGAAAATCCACGTGTGGTGTCCTGCCCCCAGGGTGACAGCGTTTAGAGCACGCGTGTCAAACACAAGGCCCGCGGGCCAGATCCGTCCCGCCAGGCCTTGCAATGTGGCCCGCACCGCGCTGTCATCACTGCACTCCGCTGCGTTTCCATCACAATGAGTTTATGACTGTTCAGTAAACCATTCGGCCCGCGACTTAGGCTGGATTTTAGATTTTGGCCCCTTCTCTGATTGAGTTCGACACCCCTAGTTTAGAGGGTGAGCCATTGGAGGCAGCTGAGTGTAGATGCGGTAAGGAGGGTGAGGCCCTCACGAAGGGGGTTAGTGCCCTCAGAAGAGACCTTGGAGAGCTCGTTCCTCTCTCCCCGCCGTGTGAGGAAGGCCAACCTCCAAGTCCTTCCAGCTTCAAGTTCAATTCTCTCACCCAGGGGTCTGGGAGGTGGGATGGGTTCAGCGGCCAACGATGGCCAGGAACCCAGTTTGGCACGGGTGTCGGCAGTTTCAAATGCCCAGATCCGGGTTTGAATCTCAGCTTTTATAACTGGGTTTAAATCTCAGTGGTTTGTAACTTGGTAACCTCAGTTCCAAAGTGGTGGGTGGTGGGTAGTCTCTGGGCCCTTGAATCTCGGCTTCTCTGCCTGTGGGCTGTGAGGCCTTGGTCAACACTCTTGACTTTGACTCCGTTTCCTGGTCGGTAAAATGGGGATAGCGCTGGTGACTACTTTACAGAGAGGTTGCTGTGAGGATCGAATGACTGCTACACACTTAGGACAGCTCAAGGGCATGGTGAGCTCTTGGGAAGGCAGAGCTTTTTCCTTAGCCCCATGTCTTCCTCTCTGAAATGAGACTGAGATCCCTGGCCGGTTTTGCTCAGTGGATAGAGCATCAGCCTGCGGACTGAAGGGTCCAGGGTTGGATTCTGGCCAAGGGCACATGCTTGGGGTTGCAGGCTCGATCCCCAGTAGGAGGCATGCATCAGGCAGCCAATCAAGGATTCTCTTCCATCATTTGATGTTTCTAACTCTCTCCCCCTCTCTGAAATTAAAAAAAACATATATTTTAAAATGAGACTGAGAACACTTCCCAGGCAGGCTTGCTGAGGATCCCGGGGCAGAAAAACCCTGGTACAAGCCAGGCTGTGGGCTGAGTCTGGGCCAGGCAGCTGCCCCTGGGCCGGCGGCCGGATGCCCGGATGGAAGAACCCGCTCAGCTGTGTATTAGCTATGGAGCTTGGTAGCACCTCCCCTGCCTCAGCTTCCTGATCTGTGCAATGGCCACACAGGCTGCGGGGGCGTGGCTAAGCTGGGGAATGTAAAGGTTGTCCTGGGCTCCACAGTCAAGCGGGTGTCAGTGGATGGGTTCTCCACCTCCAAACCCCCACTCCTTCCCTCCCCACTCCCTCCCCCAAATGCCCTGGGTCCAGATTTGGGCGCGGGGCAATATGGAGTCTATTTCCGGACTCCATATTGCCCCGCGCCCAAATCTGGAGTTCGTGGGGAAGAGTTTAAGGCTTCTTTTTTTTGTTGGCTTGTTTGTTTTGTTAATCCTCACCCAAGGGTATTCTTTTCCATTGTTTTTGTTTTTGTTTTTTTAGAGAGAAAGAGAGAGAGAGAGAGAGAGAGAGAGGAGAGGAAGGGATGGGAGGGATGGGAGGGAGAGAGAAACATTGATGTGAGAGAGACACATTGATTAGTTGCCTCCCACATGAGCCCAACCGAGTCTGCGCTCAAACCTGCAACCCGGGTAGGCACCCTTGCCCGGAAGTGGAACCACCACCCTTAGGTGTGTGGCTGGCGCGCTCCCCACTGGCCAGGGGAGGCTTCTTGGGGGTCCGGAGACCAGGAAGCCCCCACACACCGCCCGGCAGGACGCATCGCACAAAAACTCGTACCCGGATGTTCGTGGCGCGTTCTTCGTGATAGCCAGAAAGTGGAAACAACCAAAGGCCCACCAGTTGGCGAGCAGATGAGCAAACACCCTTCGGCCAGAAGGAGGAAGAGGTGCTGACAGCCCGCCTCTCACTCTCCCCTTCCCTGCCTCCCAGGGCCTCGCTCGTCCACCAGATCCTGCCCCACCCCCCGCCCAGCTTATCCTTTTTATTAGATTCCTGCAATGGGACTTGAAGGCTGGTGCTATTATTGCCCCATTTTGTAGATGAGAAAACCGAGGCTCAGAGAGGCTGTCACACAGGTGAACCGGAAATCACCGAGCTCCCGGGAGAAGCCAGACACCAGAGACCACAGCGCAGGGCTCCGGCCGTGAGCTATGCCCACGGAGACCGGAAGCAGATGAGTATCCACCGGGCGGGGGCGGGGGGAGGGCCATGCGGGAGGGATGCTAATGGCGAGAGCTCCTTTTGGGGTGATGATGAAAATGTCCTAAAACTGGCCGTGGTGATGTCACACAGTCTGTCCACCTTAGCGAAGCCGGTGAGCTGCAGGGCCGTGAGCTCAGAGGCCAGGGGGTTTGCTGGGGTTGCACAGCCGGTCAGGGGCAGCACTTCTGCCACCTGGAGACATTTGGGGCTGCAGATTCAACCCCGGCCAGCAGGTCCCGAAGCCCCTGGTCTCCCGGAAGAACAGGCTCGGCGCTCAGGGCTCTGTTTCTGGCTTCCTGCTGACTCAGACCGTGACCTTGGCTGAGTCACGTGCCCACCCGGGAGCTCACAAACAACGCCCCCATAAAACGAGCCAGCCCAGCCCCGATGTGGAGAGGCAGACGGGGAGGACGGACACGGTGGCCTGAACAGGGAAGGGCGGGGA